TCACTACCACTCGCCATCTCCCCTTGAGGAGGCCCACCAACTCCAGAGCGCAACTACTCAAACCTCTCTGTGGGTGCCTCAAACCTCCTCTCACTCTCCTCCCTTCCTCCTGCCCCATCTCCCCCTTCAGGAGCGGTGCGGAACACTGGCAAGGAGAGCACCACCAGCGCCACCCACCCTTGCCCCGTGGATGTTCACTTTCCACCCCATCCCTCCTCGCTTTTCTCCTCCCTTCCCTGCTCCACCCCCGCTGCAGGAGGCCACCAACGCCGGAGCAAAGCTGGTTCTCAACTTTGAAGTCACAGCTATCACGCGGCTGAGCTCAGGGGCAGTGCGTATCACCGGCAAGGACACCGCCACCGGCGCCACCCGCTCCTACTCCGGCGACGCTGCCATCATCACCCTCCCCCTCGGTGTTCTCAAGGCAGGAGTTGTCTCCTTCTCTCCCGCGCTCTCCCCCCGAAAGCAAGGCGCTATAAGGCGCGTCGGGTTTGGGAACGTGAATAAGGTGTTCTTTTTCTACAACACCACGTTTTGGCCGACCTGGGCGGATGAATATTTTATCGAGGATGCGCAGCTTCCGGGAAACCGCGGGCGGTGGGTTGACTGGGTGAATTTGAAGCGAGCGTGGGGTATGACGGCTTTGGAGGGTGTTGCGGTGGGTTCGTATGCGACCCGCATGGCACAGATGAGCGAGGCGCAGTGCATCAGAGATGCAGCAAACAAGATTAAAGCCATGTTTCCAAAGTACAAGACTGCAAAGGCGCACGCGGTGTGGTTGCAGCGGTGGAATTTGGACCCGTATGCGCGAGGTGCATACAGTTATGGAAGGCTGGGGATGAAAGGGGATGGTGACGCTACAGGAGATTTCAACATTCTGGCAGAACCGGAGCAAAATTTCCTGTTTGCAGGGGAGCATACGAATGGAGCTTATAGAGCCAGTGTCCATGGAGGGTATTTGTCTGGGATTCGGGAGGCTAAGAGAGTGCTTAGGTCTTACTAGTACGGAATTCGAATGCTCGTTAGTTACCTCGTTTAGGGAGGCATTGCTATAGGCTTAGGGTTAGAAAATCCTTTATATCTCAATGGCTATTTGGAAAGCATAAGAAGTCGAGGATATTCTATTGAGATATAAAGGACCAGCAAGTTGACAGTGGGCTGTCTACTTTAGCCAGCAAAGAAGTACTAAAAGACTGGATGCAAAAAGAGTAATTGTCTGATACCTGTATTTACAAACCAAACGTTTGGGATGGAATAGTTAGAGCGTACGCGCTGTGGTGCGTGATGGTATTTTATAAATGTTTGGAGGGTGCCGCCGCGACAAAGTGGACGTCGTAGCTATTTGCGGGCGCGACAAACGGTAAATAGTGAATCTAGACAAGTCTTGCGCGACATTTCTAGCTGCCGACATTTCCAAGCCCCGTCACAACTTTCCCAGCGAACCAATCCCTCACTTGCAACGGCCGACAAACCAGGCGGTAACCTGGTTGGCGCGAGAGGCAGGCGCGAGACCAAGAAGGCGAGTCGCTGAAGACGCATTTTTGCAATGAGATGTCGAAGGCGACGCGGACAATAACATTGCACAACTCAAATGCTTTCACTCCCATCCCATTCCAACCATCTCATCCCATCCGACCCCTTGAAATCACATCGCATCCCATTGGAACGAAACCCATATCATCGTATCTTATCCCATCTCATCACTCTCACCTCTCCCTCCCTCCCTCTCATCACACCTCGTGGCTGAATTTTCGTCCACGTGACTACATCACTTCAACAAAAAAACTGGCTTCTTCCACCTTGCCTCCGACAGTTTCTGTGTTCTGGTCGAGTGAGACGTGCCACGTCGGCGCGCGGAAAAACAAAAACAAATCGCTGCTCGGGATTCTGCACAGCATCTGGACAAAGAAGTCGTCCGAATGCAACAAGGCCCACCATACGCCGCACATCCCAATGAGAAATTCACGGGAACTTTTTCGTGGTGTTCTCCCGACGATCGCGGCGAGCAGCCTGGGCCCGTCCCGTCCCTTTTCAGACCGGCGATCCGCCGCAAGTCCCTTTTCAGATCGACCCTCAAGAGACTTGCTTTTAGCCCGCTAGAACAGACCTTTCAGCGAGGATGTCGGTTTTTGCCTCGCCCGCGACTTATCACTTTTCAATCACGGGCACAGACTACCGTTCGCGTCGTCGCACGGCCCATCGTGTCCCAGAGAACGCAGAGATCCTTATCCCCCTGACCCCAGAAACTGTTGAGGCGCCTCATTACACTTTCACTGCATTCCTGATGCGACTACCTCGCACAACTGACTCGCGTCTATCACTGCTCGGAATTTTTCCTTACTGCTGCTAGTAGTAGCTAACTACAGTTTCGCCTAGTTCCCGCGCGCGGCAGTGGCTTGTTCGATCGTCCTCACGCTCGCTCTAAAAAAATCCAGCAGACAGGAACTACTTTGGAAGCAACACAAGCTCCTAAGATGCGGAATAGTACAGCGGTGATCGCGGCGTGTGTGGCGCTTCTCGCGCTCTCCTCGAGTACGTCTGCCACCATGACGACACAAACTCACGCCAAGCCCATGCCTCGTCAACCGAGATTCAGCGCACTGACTGCTTTCCGCGCCACGTTAACTTAGCTAGCATCTCGCGCGAGCCACTCACAGCGTATCTCGCAGTGAATTTAGGTTCACACAGCCTGCATTGGCGCATCGCTTTCCTTTTCTCAGTGATATCACTACTGAGAATTCTCAAAAGACATTCAACAACTTTGACACTGCGTTGGCGCATTCTAGTATCGCTTTCTCACCGTTGTCTCCTCAATGCTATCAGTGGCCTCTCTTGCATCGCGCATTTCTCCCATAATCGCCCAATCGCAGGTGCAGTTGACGCCAAGGTAAAAAGCGCTCCGAAGTCTGCAACTGCGAAGGTAACAACCCGACCCTACCGATTCCGAAACGCTTCAAACCGTGAAGCTGAAAAGACTACCTGATGGCGTACCACGGCTTGCGTAGTACTGACAGGATGGCTTACAACCAGCCGTGACAGTGCGCTTGCACGCATATCAACCACATGACTTCTGAGGCCCCCCAAAAGTCAAACAGTGAAGCTGAAAAAGACTAGCTGATGACGTACCACAGCTTGCGTACAGGCAAACGGCTCATCACCAGTCGTGACAGTGGGCATGCCCGCATATCAACCAATGCAAAACTGTTGCACCACTTGACACCCTGGCGTGAAAGAGCAAACTCTTGTGGGCAGATCATACATTCACTGATCACACAGACGACGTCACGTCCTCTACTAGGTACTACGGTAGTAGCACTGTAAACTGCTGTCTCGCTCCGTTGATCTCTTCACAATGCTAAGGCGATAGCGGGTTTTTTCTTCTGATTTTCTTGGTAGGTCTTTCTTTCTTCTTCTTTGTTCTTTTTTTTCCTTTCTCTTTCGTTCCGTTACAGCGTGCTCTGCTGAAACTGCTCTATCCATCTCACCGTGCGCACCACTCCCAACGTCCCACGTCCCACAGATAGTGGTGCCGGTGGGGTTGGAAAAGGGTCGCTCCACTGTAAACCCGTGGAGCCTAGGCGTTGACAAGTGGACTCCTCCAGTCGTGAGGCCCGGCACATTTCTTCGTGAGTGTCCCGACGACTCGGCATTAGTTAAGTGCTTTCTAGCTTGTATAATGCGGTGATGGAATTCATGCTCATGCAACATTCAGACAAAGGCCATGCCGGGGAATGAGGCCTGCGAGTGCCTCTTTAGACGATTATATACAAGTGCGAGTACATCCACTCACCCGCCCCTACATCTGACGCTTGCAACACTCGCTGCCTCTGTAAACGAGTTTCTACCCTTTCTTTCGTGCAACCCTCCATCCGTTACAATTTTCTTTACCTTTCTCGCTACAGTAACTTACCTCTCTCTGTACCTGTCTCTTGCAACCCTCTGTCTCACAGCTCTCCCATCTCCACTCTTGCAAACCCGCCCTAAGGTGTAACTCATCTCCACACCTGCCTCTTCACTCTTCCCTCCCTCAGTTTTCAGGTGGATGGACGCGGAACGAGATGTGCAGCAATTCCCGGATAAAGACAGTTTCGATACATGCAACTTCTACAGTGCAGATCCCTTGGGCCCTCCAAGAAAAGTGGGCGTGGACGTGTTTTTGGTGAGGAGAGCTGAACGAGGCAAGACTCTGTATTTTGGGAGCAGAGTAGGTACGGACTGCTACAGTGGCCTCAAGGTGGCTATTCCTGTAAGCTGAGGCCTGATACACGCTCAAGCACAAGAGGAAGGATTAAAAAGGGACATCTAGTCCTATACGCACCCACAGAATAGGGTGTACACAACTGGCATGGAGACTTAGACTAGGAACCGTGCAATTTCAGGGATAATTACTGGTACCTAGGAGGAACCTTATCGTATAGAAGAGATTGTACCATCAACGCTAGGTATAAATTCGCCTATATTTCTGCTTCTGTAATACAGTAGCAGCATGAGAAATCCTGAAATGCCCTCAAGCAGATCCCTTTTTTAAAGGAACTTATTGATAGTTTCGAGGCGGGTGCGGGTCCAGTGCGTACGTTACAGCTCATCCTATGTGGTTAATCTTGCTGCGCTAGGGTGTTCCAGGAACTTCGCTGGGGAATGTTTATTGCTGAAAGCACGCTAAAAAAACATGGGGGACGAGATGAGGTTGTAGCTTCAATAAAGATTATTACATGTGCCAAAGGATTGTGGTAGACATGTCTAGTGGTGAAACCACCTTTGAGATTGTAAGCAGTACATTGTTGGGGGCTCTCTCTCGCTACATTGCTTCTGTCTATGAATCTCAGCCGTTGGATCGATAGCTGGGCCAGCTTTCTAACCAGCACTTCAACATACCGTAGCTTGCAGCTCGCTACGCTACCCACATCTAGGGTGTTCCAATTCTTACCGCTAGAGTGTTCAACGGTTTAGGTTTTCCATTTGCGGCGATCAACGACAAGCTCTTTTACTCGGAGCCCGCCATGCCGTCGCATCGCTATCGCGTGTTTCTGCGAGCGGGTATATCGGAGGAGCATAAAGAGGATGTTTTGCGAAGCTTCTTCGAGAAGTTCGGGACCGTGATCGACGTGTACGTGCCGCGCGATCCGTTCACCGGCACGCTGAAAGGCATCGCGTTCATCTCGTTCGAAGAAGAGGAAGCCGTCAAAGCCGCGGTACGCGCATTTCTGTAAAATCCACGATTAGGTCTGGTGTGGATTTGACCTTAACCATGGAATCTGACGAGGTGAGGTGAATTCTTCCGTTACCCGTCGTTCCCTATCTCCTCGTTCTCTATCTCGTTTTATTTTACAGTCGTTTGAATTTGTGGTCGTCAAACTATTGAACGTCGTACCAGCGTTTCGATCGTCTTCCTTTATTCACAAACGACTGCATATATTAACAGCAGTAGTAACCAGAGGTGAAAAGTTGGTAATGCTCTTTCTCGTACCCTCCGTCAGGTGGAAAATGACTCTTACGGGATTTACGGCTGCTCATGCCTATATCTGAGAAACAGCTTATCGTTAATGCTCATTCACGCCCCCCCCCTTCCCCCTCCCCTCTTCCCCCCCCCTCCTTCCCCTCCCCCTCAGGTGGAAAACGACTCTTACGAGATATGCGGCGTGACCATTCCCATAACCAAAGCCGAACCTCGAGGACCGGAGCAGCCATCCCGCCGCCGAGCTTACAACGACGACCGACCCTCCCACCGAGCCTCCGGCTACCCCCCGTCTTCCCTCGCCATGGCAGCCGCAGCAGCACCCCGAGCCGCTCTAGGCTCGGCAGGCTTGGATTACTACTCCGTCACTCCTCTAGTCACGTCTGGCGGCTATGGTGCCGGACTAAGTTCGGGATATGGAGGCGGGTATATACTGTCGAATGCTATGGAGGGGTATGGGCGCAGCGGAGGCGGGGGAGGAGGCGGAGGCGGAGGCGGAGGGGGAGGATTTGAGGACGAGTTTCGGATCTTTGTGGGGGGAGTGGCGGAGGAGATCAGCGAGCAGGACGTTAAGGAGCATTTTGAACAGTAAGGGTTTTGCGTACCGTTTGTCCACGTTTGTTTGATCGTCTCGTCCATCATCCGATATCATGGCCTTGCTTCGAGTTTTGAGACTTATCAAGACATCGGCGCCTTGTTTCTTCCTTCCCCTCCGTTTTCCCAAGGACAGAGCCTCCGTCGCGCCAAATGGCTTCAGCTACGCGCCTCTCTCTAACGCTTTTGCTGCACTCTCCCCACCCTCCCCCCCTCCCCCACTCCGCCCCCTCCCCTGTTCGCTCCCGCATCTCACAGGTACGGCACGGTGGAGGACGTTTATTTCCCCAAGGACGAAGCCTCAGGCTCTCGTCGTGGTTTCTGCTATGTGCGCTTCAACTCCGTCGCTGCACTCTCTCCCTATCCCCCCATTCCCCCTCTCTCCTCCCCTGCCTGTCCCCACTTCCCCCTCACAGGTACGGAACGGTAGAGGACGTGTATTTTCCTAAAGATAGAGCCTCCGGCACTCGGCGCGGCTTCTGCTACGTGCGGTTCAACTCGTTCGCGGCGGCGGACAGCGCGTGCGCGCGCAGCCAGCGCATGATCAAGGGCTCGCCCCTCCACGAGATCCGCATGGCGCAGCCGCGCCCGCCCCTGCTCGCGGGGGGAAGGGGCGGGGATGGGCGGAGAGGAGGGGGAGGCGGAGGGGGAGGGGGAGGAGGAGGTGGTGGTGGGGGGTATGGGGGCGGATATGGGGGTGGGTATGGTGGTGGTGGTGGTGGTGGGGGAGGGGGAGGGGGAGGGGGAGGGGGAGGGGGATATGGGGGCGGGTATGGGGGTGGGTATGGGGGAGGGTATGGGGGTGGATATGGGGTCAAGGAGGAGAGGGAGAGGGATTACGAGAGGGGGGGAGGCGAGGGGCGGAATGGGGACGGCGGGGGGCGCTCGCGGTATCGGCCGTATTGATAAATGGGGTGAGTGAGTGTCAGTCAGTGTGAGTGTAAGATGGTGGTGGTGGTTGTATTTTGGGGATGCTTCAAATGGTGTCCTTTTGGTTCGACTCCAAAGTCCTGCTGCCCGCTCGCGGTACTGGCCGTATTGATGGGGTGAGTGTGAGATGGTTGTGGTTTTGTCAGTGTGGTGTCTTTTTTAGTCGACGTAAAAATCACCTCCGGTCCTGATACTGGGTGTACTGATGGGTTAAGTGTATTTGAGTCAAATTGTCGATGAATGAGAATGAGATGCTGGTCGTCAGCGTGGTGAGATTGTGTTTTGAATGGTACAGTGTTGCTTCATGGGTTGGGTTTCATACCCTTCGCCGATCATTCATTCTTGTTCAAGGTTGTCAATATGTGCAAGCGTAGAGTAGCGCTGTGACGCTTTCTTTGTGTAAGGCCATGGCATGCCACCTTCTTGCAACGGATTGAGTCGCATCTCGCAGCATGCCTAGTGCGTGCACTTCATGCGTTGCCTGTTATTGCGCCTAGTGGTCGTTGTGTTTTCTATATGCTCCTTAGGGTTTAGGGCCGTCTGCTGGCTCACGCTTTGATCTCTTCTTGTTCAGCAGCCTGCATCTGCCTCTTTCTGACTGTTTCTGGCTGCTTGCCTCTCTGTGTCTGTCTCGTTGCATCCCTCGTATGTACCGGCATGGTATGTATCTTGAGCCTCGAGTCGAGGTTAGCCTGGCAGAGAGGAGGATTGGTCAGGGGCAGAGAGATGGAGAGAGAGAGGGAGGGTGTGAGTGACTCGAGTTAGGGGTGGGATGAGCAAGGGACAGAGTGAGGGAGCAAGTTGTCTGTTTTACTGACTGCACTGCAGGGCGACCTGTTCCGTTCGTTCGTTGTTGCGCTCACTGTTACAGATGACACCAACAGCCGGCACTGACGGTGAAATTACGGTGTAACAACGGTGTCACAGCGATGTCACAACGGCGTCACTCACGGGGCGTTAACGGATGGATGGAAGGAAGGACAGGAAGAACTGATGGATGGATGGATGGATGGATGGATGGATGCATACAAGGCCGAGCTCCTTTCACAAGCCTCGTACGGTTTGAGCAACTGTACGGTACGATCCGGTTTCGTACGGTACCGACCGACATTCAGAAACAGACAAGCGGACATGCACGGACAGAGGGAGGGAGGGAGCGAGGGAAGAAGAGGTGGTTGCTTGGTCCGAGCCTGGCTGAGGCAGTGCTGTTTGCCGGAACAGCCCCTATCCCCCTGCCCTTGTGCCTTCCCACCTTCCCCCGTCGACCCTTTCTTCTCCCCCACACACACTCCCCTTTGCCGTTTACCGTATCCCCCTTGCACCTTAAACTTCTTCCCTTCCCCCTCCCAAGCCCCACTCTTTTCTTCCCGTGCCAGTCCTCTGGCCCTCCCCCTCTCCTCCCCACTTTCCTTCTCATCCAGTCTCCCTCCGTTGCCCTTATCCACTCTCATTTGTATGATCCTCCTCCTGTGACGCCTCCATGGTATTCGTTGTGATGGTGAGATACCGTATCCTACGGGATTGCATGTTGATCTACTTCTTGAGTACCGTCTCGTCCTTGTAGCTTTCGGTGCCGTACCTCTATTTTGCTGTGAACACGATAGGAAGATCCTGACTTGAACCGCAGTAGGTAGGTAGGTCATTTGAAGTAAATACCACTGAAGTATGTCAATGTGATGTGAATCCCCCAGTCTATAGGTCTTGTAGTGTAGTGCACATCACTTGCCTAGCTTTTGTTCAGCTGGTGTTGGCACCTGTGTGTAAACTAGGAATGCTCGCTAGAGATTGGTGGCTGCCAGGGAAACAACTGCAATGTTTGTCCTGGAATGTGTGTGCTATGATGCGACACTACTGCCATAAATCCTGCAGTAGCCAGGCTAGGGACAAATGTCAGACTGGTTTAGATGTTAGGATACAGGATTTTTTGGAAAACACTGCTGTCATAGTTTATTTAGGTGAACAACCTTGTGATGCGAGCAGCAAATCCTTTTGACTGTTCACAAGTGGCCCTAATGTGTCCTATCCAAATGAGATGGGCACCAGTTTTAGAGTGCTGACTACCCCTTTACACCTGCCTACACTTTCCCAACCGAGAACTTCTTAGGTAGCTCAATCTTCATATCAAAATCACCCTTGCCCTCGCTGCTGTCTGATCCGTCAAGCTCCAAAAAGGCTGCGAGGATGTTCATTTTGATGATGAAGCTCAGGGCCTTGTCCCTTGGCAGTGCCTGCACACACACGTGCGAGCACAGCACACAACGCAGCAGCAGTCACAGTACAGCATACAAACAGAAAAAGGAAACACAAGGGATTGGTCAGGAGCGTGTGTGGTTCTTTTGCGGATACTGCCTTCTCCCTTGGCAGTTCCTGCACGAGTGCAAGCATGGCACGCAATCAAATGGTCACATGGCAAAGAAGCAGAGGGAGGAAACACAAGGGAATGCGTAAGAATGTGTGTGTAGGTCTTCTGTGGATAGTGGAGCTCTAGGGCCTGTCCCATAAGAAAACACATGCAACCGCACCGCACACATGGGAACACGCACGCAATCAATTGGTCACATGGCAAAGAAGCAGAGGGAGGAAACACAAGGGAATGCGTAAGAATGTGAGGGTCCTCCGTGGTTGGTGAGGGTCCTCCGTGGTTGGTGAGGGTCCTCCGTGGTTGGTGAGGGTCCTCCGTGGTTGGTGAGGGTCCTCCGTGGTTGGTGAGGGTCCTCCGTGGTTGGTGAGGGTCCTCCGTGGTTGGTGAGGGTCCTCCGTGGTTGGTGAGGGTCCTCCGTGGTTGGTGAGGGTCCTCCGTGGTTGGTGAAGCTCGGGGCCTTCTCCCTTTCTCTTGGCAGTGCCTGCACGAGTGTGAGCATGGCACACAATTTAATGGTCACACCGTGGGATGGGATTGTAACAGCAGCATTCATAAAAGCGACTCACCCCCAGCAGCAGTCTCGCCACGCGGCTGAGCTCAGTTCGTCTTCCACATGCTGCTCTCCCTTCTCCATGATACTTGAGTTGAGGACTCTGAAACATATGTTTGAATCTACACGCTACTGGTTTGCTTCAACTCACCCCCGGCAGCAATTGCCCACGCGGTTCAGCTCAGCTCGTCCTCCACATGCTGCTCGCCCTTCTCTGTAATCTGTTGGGGTTACGTTTTCTTCAGAAGTAAATCGACTAGAAAGCTGGTTGATTAGTTGGAACTCACCCCGAGCAGCATCCTGCCCACGCGGTTCAGCTTGCCCTCCACATTCTGCTCGCCCTCTCCATGACATTTGACTTGAGTTGACTTAAAAACACAAATGTGAGTGCACACACTGGCCAGTTCGACTCACCCCGAGCAGCATTCTGCCCACGCGGTTCAGCTCGTCCTCCACGTGCTGCTCGCCCTTCTCCATGATTTTCCTCATCGCCGTGATGTACATGCTTGCTTGCCTGCCACACCAACGGAGAACAGGGAAATGGCACAGATAGGGCACACATGCCGCATCACCCACGCATGCCACTTTCCCCACCCACACCTTCCTCTCCTCCTTTCAGTCTTCTCTGAGTGCATCTAAAGCCAGTTGCCACAATCACCACCCTCCCCTCCTTGCCCCTCCCAATAAGTCTCCTTGTCGCACCTACCCTATGTTGCAATGCCTCTTGCCCCACTCACTTGCTCTCTTCCTTTCTCACTTGCTCTCTTTCTTTCTCTCATTTGCTCTCTTCCTTTCTCACTCACTCTCTTCCTGTCTTATTTGAAACCTTCTCCCCTTAAGCCAATCTCTCCTCCCCGTCCTCCCCCTCCTCCATCCCTGTCCCATGAGCCCCCATCTACAATGCACAATGCACCTACCAATCGTATACCACATCCCCTCCCTCCCGACTCACTGCTCTCCTCCTCTCTCACTTGCTCTCCTCCTCTCTCACTTGCTCTCCTCCTCTCTCACTTGCTCTCCTCCTCTCTCACTTGCTCTCCTCCTCTCTCACTTGCTCTCCTCCTCTCTCACTTGCTCTCCTCCTCTCTCACTTGCTCTCCTCCTCTCTCACTTGCTCTCCTCCTCTCTCACTTGCTCTCCTCCTCTCTCACTTGCTCTCCTCCTCTCTCACTTGCTCTCCTCCTCTCTCACTTGCTCTCCTCCTCTCTCACTTTCTCTCCTCCTCTCTCAATTTCTCTCCTCCTAGCTGACTGCCACCCTTTCCTCTCTCTCTTCCTTGCCCACCCCAATACACACCCTCCCCACTCTGCACCTATCCACACCACACTCCCTCCCCCACCACTCACTTGCTCTCCTCCTCGCTCACTGTCACCCTCTCCGCCTTGCCCAGTCGCTCCTCTCTCCCCTCCTTGCTTGCTGCAATAAACCCGCGGGCCAGCTCGTCCAAAGCTGCTATGCGCCCGGCCTGCTCAGGAATGGTGGGAGCAAGGGAGGGAGTGATCGTTGGGGGGATCTCAGAATAAACGCGCACACACACACACACACATACACACACACACACACACACACACACACACACACACACACACACACACAACACACCACACCACACCACACCACACCACGCCACACCACAAGTTGAGAGGTCTGTCTGTCACCTCCCACGCGCCCCCGTAGCACCACACATCTCGCTTGCCTTCAACTTGCACTCGTGCCTTCAACTTGCACTCGTGCTTTCACATCACCACAACCAGCTCACCACCTTGTCAGAGAGCATTCCCGTGGTGGTTCTGTGTGTCTGTGCATGTGCATGTGTCTGTGCATGTGCATGTGTCTGTGCATGTGCATGTGTCTGTGCATGTACATGTGTCTGTGCATCTGCATGTGCATGTGTCTGTGCATGTGCATGTGTCTGTGCATGTGCATGTGCATGTGTCTGTGCATGTGCATGTGTCTGTGCATGTGCATGTGCATGTGTCTGTGCATGTGCATGTGTCTGTGCATGTGCATGTGCATGTGTCTGTGCATGTGCATGTGTCTGTGCATGTGCATGTGTCTGTGCATGTGCATGTGTCTGTGCATGTGCATGTGTCTGTGCATGTGCATGTGTCTGTGCATGTACATGTGTCTGTGCATGTGCATGTGCATGTGTCTGTGCATGTGCATGTGTCTGTGCATGTGCATGTGCATGTGTCTGTGTCTGTGCATGTGCATGTGTCTGTGCATGTGCATGTGCATGTGTCTGTGCATGTGCATGCATGTGCATGTGCATGTGTCTGTGCATGTGCATGTGTCTGTGCATGTGCATGTGTCTGTGCATGTGCATGTGTCTGTGCATGTGCATGTGTCTGTGCATGTGCATGTGTCTGTGCATGTGCATGTGTCTGTGCATGTGCATGTGCATGTGTCTGTGCATGTGCATGTGCATGTGTCTGTGCATGTGCATGTGCATGTGCATGTGTCTGTGCATGTGTCTGTGCATGTGCATGTGTCTGTGCATGTGCATGTGTTTGTGCATGTGCATGTGCATGTGTCTGTGCATGTGCATGTGTTTGTGCATGTGCATGTGCATGTGTCTGTGCATGTGCATGTGCATGTGCATGTGCATGTGTCTGTGCATGTGCATGTGCATGTGCATGTGTCTGTGCATGTGCATGTGCATGTGCATGTGTCTGTGCATGTGCATGTGCATGTGCATGTGCATGTGCATGTGTCTGTGCATGTGCATGTGCATGTGTCTGTGCATGTGCATGTGCATGTGTCTGTGCATGTGCATGTGTCTGTGCATGTGCATGTGTCTGTGCATGTGCATGTGTTTGTGCATGTGCATGTGCATGTGTCTGTGCATGTGCATGTGCATGTGTCTGTGCATGTGCATGTGCATGTGTCTGTGCATGTGCATGTGCATGTGTCTGTGCATGTGCATGTGCATGTGTCTGTGCATGTGCATGTGCATGTGTCTGTGCATGTGCATGTGCATGTGTCTGTGCATGTGTCTGTGCATGTGCATGTGTCTGTGCATGTGCATGTGTCTGTGCATGTACATGTGTCTGTGCATCTGCATGTGCATGTGTCTGTGCATGTGCATGTGTCTGTGCATGTGCATGTGCATGTGTCTGTGCATGTGCATGTGTCTGTGCATGTGCATGTGCATGTGTCTGTGCATGTGCATGTGTCTGTGCATGTGCATGTGCATGTGTCTGTGCATGTGCATGTGTCTGTGCATGTGCATGTGTCTGTGCATGTGCATGTGTCTGTGCATGTGCATGTGTCTGTGCATGTGCATGTGTCTGTGCATGTACATGTGTCTGTGCATGTGCATGTGCATGTGTCTGTGCATGTGCATGTGTCTGTGCATGTGCATGTGCATGTGTCTGTGTCTGTGCATGTGCATGTGTCTGTGCATGTGCATGTGCATGTGTCTGTGCATGTGCATGTGTCTGTGCATGTGCATGTGCATGTGTCTGTGCATGTGCATGTGTCTGTGCATGTGCATGTGTCTGTGCATGTGCATGTGTCTGTGCATGTGCATGTGTCTGTGCATGTGCATGTGCATGTGTCTGTGCATGTGCATGTGCATGTGTCTGTGCATGTGCATGTGCATGTGTCTGTGCATGTGCATGTGCATGTGCATGTGTCTGTGCATGTGTCTGTGCATGTGCATGTGTCTGTGCATGTGCATGTGTTTGTGCATGTGCATGTGCATGTGTCTGTGCATGTGCATGTGTTTGTGCATGTGCATGTGCATGTGTCTGTGCATGTGCATGTGCATGTGCATGTGCATGTGCATGTGTCTGTGCATGTGCATGTGCATGTGCATGTGTCTGTGCATGTGCATGTGCATGTGCATGTGTCTGTGCATGTGCATGTGTCTGTGCATGTGCATGTGCATGTGTCTGTGCATGTGCATGTGCATGTGTCTGTGCATGTGCATGTGCATGTGTCTGTGCATGTGCATGTGTCTGTGCATGTGCATGTGTCTGTGCATGTGCATGTGTTTGTGCATGTGCATGTGCATGTGTCTGTGCATGTGCATGTGCATCTGCATGTGCATGTGTCTGTGCATGTGCATGTGTCTGTGCATGTGCATGTGTTTGTGCATGTGCATGTGCATGTGTCTGTGCATGTGCATGTGCATCTGCATGTGCATGTGTCTGTGCATGTGCATGTGTCTGTGCATGTGCATGTGTTTGTGCATGTGCATGTGCATGTGTCTGTGCATGTGCATGTGCATGTGTTTGTGCATGTGCATGTGCATGTGTCTGGGCATGTGCATGTGCATGTGCATGTGTCTGTGCATGTGCATGTGCATGTGTCTGTGCATGTGCATGTGCATGTGTCTGTGCATGTGCATGTGCATGTGTCTGTGCATGTGCATGTGCATGTGTCTGTGCATGTGCATGTGTCTGTGCATGTGCATGTGTCTGTGCATGTGCATGTGTTTGTGCATGTGCATGTGCATGTGTCTGTGCATGTGCATGTGCATGTGCATGTGTCTGTGCATGTGTCTGTGCATGTGCATGTGTCTGTGCATGTGCATGTGTTTGTGCATGTGCATGTGCATGTGTCTGTGCATGTGCATGTGTTTGTGCATGTGCATGTGCATGTGTCTGTGCATGTGCATGTGCATGTGCATGTGCATGTGCATGTGTCTGTGCATGTGCATGTGCATGTGTCTGTGCATGTGCATGTGCATGTGCATGTGCATGTGCATGTGTCTGTGCATGTGCATGTGTCTGTGCATGTGCATGTGTCTGTGCATGTGCATGTGCATGTGCATGTGTCTGTGCATGTGCATGTGCATGTGTCTGTGCATGTGCATGTGCATGTGTCTGTGCATGTGCATGTGTCTGTGCATGTGCATGTGTTTGTGCATGTGCATGTGCATGTGTCTGTGCATGTGCATGTGCATGTGCATGTGCATGTGTCTGTGCATGTGCATGTGCATGTGCATGTGTCTGTGCATGTGCATGTGCATGTGCATGTGCATGTGTCTGTGCATGTGCATGTGTCTGTGCATGTGCATGTGCATGTGCATGTGCATGTGTCTGTGCATGTGCATGTGCATGTGTCTGTGCATGTGCATGTGCATGTGTCTGTGCATGTGCATGTGCATGTGCATGTGTCTGTGCATGTGCATGTGCATGTGTCTGTGCATGTGCATGTGCATGTGCATGTGCATGTGCATGTGCGTGTGCATTTGCATGTGCATGTGTCTGTGCATGTGCATGTGCATGTGTCTGTGCATGTGCATGTGCATGTGCATGTGCATGTGCATGTGCCTCCTAGTACCTCATCTTGTACCTCATGCTTGCACCACGAGCTCACCATATCAGAGAGCATTCCCGTGTTGGTTCTGTGGGTCCCCGCCTCCCTGTTCACAAACGCCAGAAGGTCTCTCAACTCCCACGCGCCCTCGTAGCTCTCGCCTTGCTTGTTGGACGGAGGGAACCATAGTATGGTGGGGTAACCCGTTATGCTGTACCTGCAGTGGCAAGAAGGAAGACAGGATAGGCAGCGCAACAGCATGCAGACATATTGAGGCGCCTCCCACGCCTCTAGGCTCCAACGCGCCCTTTGAAACGCCTCGGAAAGCATGCCTCTCAGCTACCGCGCGCCCTCAAAATTCTCGCCCTGATTGGTGGAGGGAGCGAACCACTTGATGGTCGGGTAACCCGTTGTGCTGTACCTGCAGTGGGGAGTGAGAAGAGAGGGTAGAACAGAGAGGGGAGAGGATATGCAACGCAAGAGCATGCAGGCATTTTTGAGGCTGCTCACACGCCTGCCAGCTCCCACACGGAGAGATCCACGAGAGCTCCGATGCACTCTTGTGGCTCGGAGCTCTCTCCGTGCTTGTTGGAGGGGAGGGAGGGAACCACTTGATGGTCGGGTAACCCGTTGTGTTGTTGTGCCTGTATTAGCGGGTCAAGCTGGCAGATAGAATACAACGGAGACGGGACCGGTCGCCTCAGATGGATTACCTTTTGACACACATCAGAAATCGCCTCACATGGAAACCACTTGGAAGTCGCCTCACGTGGAAACCACTTGGAGAGGATATGCAACAGCATGTGGATACTTCGAGGTGCCTCACGTCGTATTATCCACTTGATGATGGGGTAACCAGATTCACCTCTTGTTACAAGCACCCACGCAACATCGTCATCACCTCACTACAAGCACAAACCACAATATTGCACCATCACCATCACCATCACCATCACCATCACCATCACCACCACCATCACCATCACCACCACCACCACCACCACCACCACCACCATCACCACCACCATCACCACCACCATCACCACCACCACCATCACCACCACCACCACCATCACCACCACCACCATCACCACCACCATCACCACCACCATCACCACCACCATCACCACCACCATCACCACCACCATCACCACGTGGCCACTCACTTGTCTTTGAGCTCCCTTTGCTTGCTCGCGTCTAGCTTGGCGATCATCACCCTCTCCTCGTCTCACATAGCACCATGCTCTCTCTCACTAGTAGCACCTCTCACTATAAGCACACCATACCATCGCCAAATTGCCACTCACCTCTCTTTGAGCTCTCTGTGCTTGCTCGCGTCCAGCTTGGCGATCACCACGTTCTCCTCGTCTCTGAATGCCCGCCCAAGCTGCTCGTATGCCTGGTGGGGGGATGCGGAGAGGAAGGGGAGAGGAACATGTGAGGGTGAGAGAAGGCGCACGAGGGAAAAAGTCAGTCTGCCTAGCTCTCAATTACCACGTTCTCCTCATCTCTGAATGCCCGCCCTAGCTGCTCGTATGCCTGGTGGGGGGATGCAGGAGGAACGTTTGCGATGGAAGGGAGAAGAACGAGTAAGAGGGAAAAATAAGAGAAATGGTGGGGAGGGAGAACAAGGAGGGACGAATGGGTTTGGGAGAGGGAAGAGGGAGGAAAGAGGGAGGGAATAGAGGAGGAAGTGAAAGGACAGAGAGCAATGAAAGATGGGAGAGAGAGGGAAACGAAGGAGTTGGAGCAATGAGAAATCTGAAGGAGACGGGGAGAAGAGGAAGAGAGGAAGAAGAGAGTATGCTATGCTGTCACAGGGTTGTTAATGCTGTCACAGGGTTGTTGATGCTGTTACAGGGTTGTTGATGTTGTTGTTCTTTGTTTCAGAAATCCATTTTGTTGGAACGAATTGAGATTGAACGAAATCGGACGGAGCAAGTGGGATTTTGGGCAAGGGAGCAGCGGAATTACCGGAGCAAGGTCTTGGCAAAACGAGCACCTGAAGGGAAGATGCAGTGCAGGGGCAGCGTGAGGGAGAGACAAGCATAAAGTTTATAACACCAAATTGGAAACTTGATGCTTCACACACATGCTGATTTCACAGCCCTACCACCATACAGTACCGCAAGCCACACAAGAGAAAGGATAGGGTACTAAATGTGGATATACACACAAGGAGCAGCATCGGCAACATACGGATAATGGATTTGCATGCATCATCCATATGCATACATGTGTATTTGAGAGTCAACCGCAAATTACACCCAAACGTGCGCATGCACAGAGGAAGCAGCATCAGCAGCACACGAATCGGCTTAGAAAATGCTCGTAAGGCTTTGAAAGAGGCACCCAAAAGGCACTAAAAAAACGATAAGAAGGCACGAGAAAAGCACTCGGAAAGCACTCGAGAAGCATCCAAAGGGACGGAAAAAAGAGGAGCCAAAAAGGCCAGCTCCCTCTGTGTCTCTCCAGGGCACGTAACGTACAACTCCACGAGCAGAAACTTGAAAGCTTACAAGAACCCTTGAGGGTTCCAACAGGCACACCAAAGACACACCTCGCTCTGTGTCTCACCAGGGCACGTAACGTACAACTCCACGAGCACAGAGTCGGAGGGGATCCACCACCACGTGACGGCACGTGGTCCCTTGAGACTTGAGAAGAGACTCTTTTACAAGGCCGTTACCCCCCTCCCTCTCTGTGTGTGTCTCACCAGGGCGCGTAGAACTCCACGAGCACGAACGTGGAGGGATCCAGCACCACGGGCAGCAGGTGGTTCTATGAGTTGAGAGCTCTCAAGAACCCTTTCTAGTTCCAAAACGCACCCCCCCCCCATTCGCTCACCAGGGCGCGTAGAACTCCACGAGCACGAACTTGGAGGGATCCAGCACCACGGCAGGTGGACCCTTGAGACTTGAGAAGAAACAATCCTACAAAACAGGTACCTCCACCCCCCTCCCTCTCTGTGTCTCACCAGGGCGCGTAGAACTCCACAAGCACGAACTTGGAGGGATCCAGCACCACGGCATCAAAGGTGTTGGGCAACAGGGTTACCACGTGCGATGGTGGTGGCGCTGGTGGCTCAACACTGGTGCCTGCCATGCCATGCCACACAGGGGGGTGCGGGAGGGAGTGGGGGTTTCAGCACCAAGGCATCAAAGGTGTCGGGCAGCAGGGTTACCACGTGCGATGGCAGTGGCGCTGGTGGCTCGACACTGGTGCCTGCCATGCCATGCCACACAGGGGGGTGCAGGAGGGAGTGGGGGTTTCAGCACCATAGCATCAAAGGTGTTGGGAAATAGGGTTACCACGTGCGATGGCGGTGGCGCTGGTGGCTCGACACTGGTGCCTGCCATACAGGGAGGTGGCAGAAGGGGGGGGTTCAGCACCATAGCATCAAAGCTGTTTGGCAATAGGGTTACCACGTGCGATGGCGGTGGCGCTGGTGGTTGGACATTGGTGTCTGCCATGTCATGCCATGCAGGGAGGTGGTGGAGGGAGGGGCGAGAGAGGGTTGAGGTGCATCGGTTGGTGTGCCCGAGAGGTTGCACGTCTTCGGGGAGGTTTTGAAGGCCATGAAATGAGCATGGATGGGCATGGGATGGGCATGGGATGGGCATGGGATGGATGGGCATTGGATGGGCATGGGATGGGCATGAGATGGGCATGAGATGGGCATGAGATGGGCATGAGATGGGCATGAGATGGGAATGGGATGGGCATGGGATGGATGGGCATGGGATGGGCATGGGATGGGCATGAGATGGGCATAGGATGGGCATGGAATGAGCATAGGATGGGCATGAGATGGGCATGAGATGGGCATGGGATGGGCATGAGATGGGCATGAGATGGGCATGGGATGGGCATGGGATGGGCATGAGATGGATGGGCATGAGATGGATGGGCATGAGATGGATGGGCATGAGATGGATGGGCATGAGATGGATGGGCATGAGATGGATGGGCATGAGATGGATGGGCATGAGATGGATGGGCATGAGATGGATGGGCATAAGATGGATGGGCATGAGACGGGCCGTAACACTCCAAGAGAGAAAGCATAAAGCTCACTCACCCATCTTTCTATTCGTGAACTCCACCAGATCGTCCACACTGCGCTCCCCTGGGTAGCTGCCAGCCACCCAGTGACTATGGTTCATGTGATAGGCCTTCACACTTCAAAGGGAAAAGCATCAAAGCTCACTCACTCACCCAGCTTTTCGTTCGTAAATTCCACCAGATCCTCCACACTGCGCTCCCCTGTGTAGCTGCCAGCCAGCCACCCAGCCAGCCGGTAGCAGTGTGTGGTGTCAAGGAAAGATTATTCAATATAAGAGGAAAAGAACATATGAAAAACAGCTGCAAAAATGACTTGTTGTGGGTGCGGAGATAATTCAAACGTCCCGCATTACACATGATGACCATGCGTGACACATGTGAATATCAAGTCATGCGATCAGATTGGATAAAGCCATGCCCCTCCCCTCCCCCCCCACCACCCCTTCCCTCACTGATCCACACTCTTCGCCCCTCCCCTCCCTTCGCCCCTCCCTTCGCCCCTCCCCTCCCTTCGCCAGTCCCCTCCTTCAACCCCTCCCTTCGACTCTGAACCCTAAGCCCCTCGTCCCTCCCCTCGCCCCTCTCCGTACTCTTCAGGTTTGGAGGCCCCTTTCGGAAACCACTTGAGCGTCGGGTAGCCCTTCACTTTGTACTCGCTGCAGAGCTTCTTGTGTTTGTCACAGTCCACCTACATGATGAGACGGCAGAGGAAGGCAGGAGCACAGAGACGAATAGAGCTGACATGGGGAGTGGGAGAGGCGGGACAGGAGGAGAGACGGGTTAAGGCTCTGTAGAAGGGAACGGAATAAAATACCTATTTGAACATTCCAGGCACCTTCCATGTGCTTTCCCCGCTCCTTCCATGCACCTTCTTCCCTCCGTCTTAGCTCTTTCCTGGCTTGCCCGCCCCGCTACCCATCTCCCAGCCACAATCAAATCAAATCTGATTCCACATTCACCTTACCGACAACCACCGATTCGGTCTCTTTAAAGGCAGCCCCGAATTTGTCATAGTCCGGGGCCAGCTTCTTGCAATGCCCGCACCTGGCGGAGGTGAAGCGGGGGGAAAGCGGGGGGCAAGCGGAGGGGAAGCGGGGGGGAAACGGGGGGGAAGAGGGAGGGAATCGGGGAAGAGCGAAGCGGAGGGAGGGGGAGATGGGGGGAAGCGAAAGGAGGGGGGAAGGAGGGAAGGGTAAGGGTGAATGGGGAGGACGGGCATTGCGAGTCAGAAAGGAGGAAAAGAAGCCGTTCGCAATCCGTTTGTAAGCCGTGCGAGCAGCTAACGGGTGGCGCCAGTCTTTACTCGCTTCGAAGGCACGCATCGTGATTTGCGGAAACTTTTGACGAAACAACTTGCGAAGAGATGGGAGACAGCGGGAGAAAATTTTCTTCTCTCTCTTTTTTTTTTCCACAAATGGAAACGGTCCGCTACTTGGCTACGGAGCGTCGAGCATTCAGTCGTCGAAGGAATCACGTTCGATACGCGGTCTTCAGGCGGGAATGGTCGCGCTGGTTAGTCGAAGTGTAGGTAAGTGTGCGTGTATCGCTTTTCCATTATTTACCACGGTGCGTAGAATTTGACAAACGCGGCCTTTTCCTTTCCGACGAAGTCTGCGAAATTTCCGGGGCATAACTCGACGACGACTGCGACGACCGCGAACGCGAGCGTCGCGAAGACTAAGAACGACAGGCCCGCTCGGATCGCCATTGGAATGAATGATCGCTAAACGGCTCGATTGTTGTGCGCGTGCGAAATGGATAGGTAGTGGGACGTAATCAGTCAGAGAAAGAGTATTATGGCGATCGCGTTCTTCTAATATGTATTGATGTGCGCATCAAGCACTAAGAATATAACGCGTTCCGGCCTGATTTAGCGCGGGGTGAGGGTCTGAACGGCAGCTTCCGTTCAATACTGTACTGCAGGTTCAAAAGCTTTTCAATCCAGATGATTCCATGCAGTTTGCCTAGTGGGCAGCATTGTGCAGAGATATTTTATGGCACACCTCGACCACAGCTGGCGCTCCCCACATCACGAGTCACGACTCACGACTCACCACAGCGAGGGCATCGGCCTTCCTCTCGGCCCTGATCTCGCGGGGAATGAGACATCCTTGGCCCGAATAGACAGAGATATTTTATGTTACAGCTCAACCACATCTACTTTCGGAGTTTCGCGCTGCCCGCGGGCAAGCAACATCTCCGATGGCATGACATGGCATGCGATCGGGAGGCATGAAATTTGCCTTGACCCAATTCCTCCCAATGGCACGCCGGCTTCAGAGAGTTTTCTGACAACGCGCTACCTGACGAAAGCTGGTGATGCATGAAGGTGCTCTACACCGCATCCCACTCGGGATGGGAAAGAGTTCATCAGGTGCCGGGCCAACTTCGCGCGGGCAATATCGATTTCGCCAATGTCGAACGAGTGTCGCCACAATCGGCCGAGCTTGGTGTGTTACAATCATCATACACGAGTTGCACAAAATGTGCACCAGCCAAGTTCGTTCAGCATACAACTCCTGAACAAAAAATCAGCAGTCAAGAGTGTAGAGATTGATACCCTTGCATTACACTGTTTAAGAATCTTCCTTGTGAAGGCATTCGTACGACCAATGAATGGATCGCACAGCAAGTGCAACCCCCAGAAATGAGTCGCTTGAGTCTCAAGCAATGCTTGTCATTTGAGCCAGGTTTTATATTCAGTATGCACCTGCACTCTGCTGCTGTTACCTGCCAGTACATCCTTGTTGCGACGACTTTTTTTTCGTATTATTCGTCTCGTCAGGGACGATCGATGCCACCTTGTACACGTTCCCCTGCTCATTCGGTTAATGCCACTGCAACATCACATGATGAACTCGAAGGCCTAAAAGTTGCCGCAGCAGCAGCAGGGGTCCAGGTCGCCCTGCCCCAAATGGCACTGCCCCAGATGGCACTGCCCTAGATGACACTGCTCCAGATGGCACTGCCCCAGATGGCACTGCCCCAGATGGCACTGCCCCAGATGGCACTGCCCCAGATGGCACTGCCCCAGATGGCACTGCCCCAGATGACACTGCTCCAGATGGCACTGCCCCAGATGGCACTGCCCCAGATGGCACTGCCCCAGATGGCACTGCCCCAGATGGCACTGCCCCAGATGGCACTGCCCCAGATGACACTGCTCCGGATGGCACTGCCCGAGACAGCCCTGCTCCACTGCCCGTGGAAACACGCCAAGCGCCAGTCACGTGAAGAGCTGGAAGAGCATGAAGTCGTCGCAGCACCACCGGGGATTCAGGTCGCTCTGCTCCAGATCGCCCTGCTCCAGGTCGCCCTGCTCCAGGTCGCCCTGCTCCAGGTCGCCCTGCTCCAGGTCGCCCTGCTGTCAGAATATGTTGTTTGTGTAGCCTGCAGTGGGGTACTCTATAGTGAGTACAGCCCCTTAGGGTTTGCTATTTGTATCCTGCTGCTTGCTAGTTCAATCATTCCTTCTCAATTCTGTTCCTACACACATTCCTAGCTCGTACTTGGCTCCTCGTTACTAGTCCTACTGTGGCCTAGGCTACTAAGCCTAGGCCGTACTCCTACTACTTCTGATATGGTATCAGAGGGCGGCATGTCTGCCGCCTTCCTGTGTATGGGCCCACCACCCGCTTCCGCTGCCGTACTGTCCGCCGCGCGCCCCGTGGTGCGCGGCGGCGAAACCCTAATTTCTGCCCGCCGCGCGCTCGGGGCGCCTGGCGATTTTCCCTTCCGTGGCGCCCGTCGTGGTGCCCTTGGGGGGGCCTCCGCGGTCCCCTCCCGTCGAAGCGCCCGTCGAGGCGCTCTCGGGGACCCGCGCGGCCTCCCCTCCCGTCGCCTGTCGAGGCGACCTCGGGGACCCGCGCGGCCTCCCCTCCCGTCGCCCGTCGAGGCGACCTTGGGGGCCCGCGCGGCCTCCCCACCAGTCGCCCGTCGTGGCGACCACGGGGGCCGCGCGCGGTCCCCTCCCGTCGCCCGTCGAGGCGACTTCGGGGGCCGTGCGCGGCCCTCCCCGTCGCCCGTCGAGGCGACTTCGGGGGGCCCGCGCGGCGTCCTCCCCGTCGCCCGTCGAGGCGACTTCGGGGGGCCCGCGCGGCACCCTCCCCGTCGCCCGTCGAGGCGGCTCTGGGGGCTCGTCGCGGCGCCCTCCCTGGTGCCTGTCGCGGCGCCCCGGGGGGGGGCCGCGCGGCTCCCTTCTCGTCGCCCCTCGGGGCGCCCTGGGGGCCGTGCGTTTCCCCCCCCCCCCCCCTTCTGCCTTTCAACTGCGGCGGCCGCCCCTGGAGCCGCCCGCCACTGCAGCAGCAGCCCCTGGAGCCGCCCGCCACTGCAGCAGCAGCCCCTGGAGCCGCCCGCCACTGCAGCAGCCGCCCCTGGAGCAGCCCGCACCTGCAGCAGGCGCCCCTGGAGCAGCCCGCACCTGCAGCAGCCGCCCCTGGAGCAGCCCGCACCTGCAGCAGGCGCCCCTGGAGCAGCCCGCACCTGCAGCAGCCGCCCCAGGACCCGCGCGAGCCGCCTCTGCAGAAGCCCGCCCCGTCCCCCCCCCCCCCCCCCCCCCCGTGCTGCCCATTGCTCCCATTCCACCGTGCGTTCCGCGGTGGCTGTGGGGTGTGGGGTGGGGAGCATGGGGGTGAGAGGTGTGGGTTCTCCCCTCCTCCTTTTTCGTCTCCCACTGCTGCAGCTGCCGCTGAGGGGGGTGGAGGTGTAGGAGTCGTGGGGAGTGGCACTAGGGGGGTGATGTGGGAGTGGAGCTAGGGGTGAAGCAGGGGGTGTGTGAGAGGGGTGTGGGACTGTTGGGGGAGGTTGAGTGGAGGCTGCTGTCTTGTCGTCCGCAGCACCTGTAGTCCGGGGCGCACTGTCCTGGTAGCTCAGAGAGCCTGCTGCACCTGTTGCCCGTGGGTCCGTTGCTCCTGCCGCTCGTCGCAGCCGCAGAGCCTGTTACTCCTGTATTCCGGGACGCACTGTCTCGGTAGCCACTGAGAGCCTGCTGCACCAGTCGCCCGTGGGTCCGTTGCTTCTGCCGCTCGTCGTAGCCGCAGAGCCAGTTACTCCAGTATTCCGGGGCGCTCTGTCTCGGTAGCCACTGTGTCAGCCGCCACTGTGTCAGCCGCTTCTGTTGCCCGTGTGTCTGCAGCTTCAGTCGTCGCCTCCCATCTTCTCTCCTTTCATAGTCCCTCCTCCTCCTCACTTGCCCTCTGTGATAGCCTCTAGCTTTGCTGATAATTATGAACTATTGCTATGACTGCTCATTGTGCTGATTACACCCCACTTTGGCTATGGGGGTGTGTCAGAATATGTTGTTTGTGTAGCCTGCAGTGGGGTACTCTATAGTGAGTACAACCCTTTTGGGTTTGCTATTTGTATCTTGCTGCTTGCTAGTTCAATAATTCCTTCTCAATTCTGTTCCTACACACATTCCTAGCTCGTACTTGGCTCCTCGTTACTAGTCCTACTGTGGCCTAGGCTACTAAGCCTAGGCCGTACTCCTACTACTTCTGATACCTGCTCCAGGTCGCCCTGCTGCAGGTCGCCCTGCTGCAGGTGGCCCTGCTCCACTGCCCTCCATGTGACGCCCTCTGCTTCTGAGGCGCCCCAAAAGTAGACCCGTGGAGAAAAGCCAAGCGCCAATCACGTGAAGAACTAGAAGAATCTTATGCCGTTGCTGCACCAGCCGGGGTCCAGCTCGCCCTGCTCTCACTGCCCTCCCGTGAGGCCGTCTGCTTCTGGGTACCGTGGAACAAACCCAACCGCCAATCACGTGAAGAGTTGGAAGATTTTAATGTCATCGCTGCACCAGCGGGGGTCCAGATCGCTCTGCTCCACGGCCCTCCACGTGAGGCCCTGTGCTGCCATGGCTTGGAAACACTGGGGCGTGGACGGGCGCAGCTCCACTGCTATGAATATCTGACGGGGGGAGGGAGGGGGGTGGAGAGTTTGGGGGGGCGCAGGTCGGAGGGGGAAGGGGAAGGGAGAAGCGGGAGGAGCGGTTAAGGGGAGGGAGGAGCGGTTAAGGGGAGGGAGGAGCGGCTATGAGTTGAAGGTGGGGAGCCGGCAGGAAAAGAGAAGTTGAAAAGAAATTTTGACACGAGTGGAAAATATGGAGAGGGCTGAGAGCGCTTGAACTGGTTAGGGACGTCTCAAAATCTGGGAAGAGTTTCGAAACATCTGAAAGCACGAGCGGAAGATGGAAGGAGGGCTGAGAGGGCTCTTCCCGAGGTGCTTGAGACACCCCTTGCGAGGTGCTTGAGACACCCCTTGCGAGGTGCTTGAGACACCCCTTGCGAGGTGCTTGAGACACCCCTTGCGAGGTGCTTGAGACACCCCTTGCGAGGTGCTTGAGACACCCCTTGCGAGGTGCTTGAGACACCCCTTGCGAGGTGCTTGAGACACCCCTTGCGAGGTGCTTGAGACACCCCGTGCTTGAGACACCCCTTGCGAGGTGCTTGAGACACCCCTTGCGATACAAACTCTAAGCGCTCGACCCAAGGTGCCCTCCCTCTCATGTACCGCTCATATGACTCGTGCCTCTGATACACCGCTTGAGTGCTTACACTCCCATCCCATGGCCCGCCATGCGCCGCCTACACAGAAACATGTGCCCCTGTACTGATACTCACATACACTACAGAAAAACCGCCAGGGGGCTTACCCCGTCAGGGGGCTTACCCCGCCAGGGGGCTTACCCCGCCAGGGGGCTTACCCCGTCAGGGGGCTTACCCCGTCAGGGGGCTTACCCCGTCAGGGGGCTTACCCCGTCAGGGGGCTTACCCCGCCAGGGGGCTTACCCCGTCAGGGGGCTTACCCCGTCAGGGGGCTTACCCTAGTGCAACTTCTGAGGCGCCTCAAAAGTCAGAAACACCGCCAGGGGGCTTACCCTAGTGCGAGGTCCCGCCAGCTGCTTGATCGTGCGGCAGAGGGCGGGCATCTGATCCGCCTCGTACGTGATATCCGATCCAACGATCAGATCTAGATCCTTCACAAAATCCTCGACATCCAACGGCTCAGATTCGGCGACTCCTCCTTCCCCTCCATTCACACTCAACGCTCCTAAAGTCTCCGCCAGCGGTGCTTCTGCTCCTGCTTGCTCTCCTGATGCTCTCACTGCTCCTGCTGTCGTGTCAACAGCAGGAGCAGCCGTAGCACCACCATCACCACCACAAGCACCCACACCATGAGCAGATAATGGTAGGATAGCAGCTGCTCCGGTATCCGTCTCTCTCTCCTCCCTCTCTCCTTCGCTCCCCCCATCCCCGCACGCTCCAGTGTTCCCTCCCCGCCGCCCGCCGACCTCCCCATCCGTCTCCGCCAATTCCGCACTGCCAGATGTCCGCCTATGCGCATCCTCCCCAGAATCCGCCCTCCTAGGTAACTCCTCCCCCAGATGCACCTGCCTCGGCAAGCCCTCTCCCCATTCCAGCTGCGCCGCAAACGCCCTCCCCTCGAGCGCGTTTTCCGCAATGTTCCGCCTGATCCCGCGCATACACCTGATATCGCGGTCCGTCAGGAGCACGCGCGCTCCTAAAGCCGCCGCGGCGAGCCCGACGACTCCTAAACCCGCTCCCAGCTCCAGCACCCTTAGGTCTTTACATGACCCTTCCGGCCACGCCTTTCCGTGCGCGCCGAGCCACGCGGCGAAGACCAGAGACGCGTCCCACACCCACGCACCCGTCACGGATTTCCCCGTCTCCGAATCGCGCGCGTCCTCGAGCTCGAAGATCCGGATCGTACGGCTGCCTAAATCGACCTCTCGCACGTTCACCATCGTGACTGTTGGATTGCGGATAGTGAACTCTTTTTCTCTCTTCCCGCGCGTACTTTTCGGTCACGAACGAATCAACTGAACGAGTTCTACAATGCTCTGGACCACGGAATACATATGTGTCGCAGATGCGGCTCGGTCACTGACAAGGAAGACGAAGTTTCAGTGCAGAGCGAGTCGTTTCAAGCAACACAATGACGGATAAAATTGAGTAGCGTACCCAGCATGAAGCATAATGTTTAAGTACTTTCGATGTGAGAACATTCTCCAGAACAAAATAAAAGGTCTGCCACTATGTACAGCGCTGCTGAGACAATTGATTGAAATTACACAGGACCAAACGGCCTGGTTGGCGCAATAATTTCCAAAGCTGTGAGTGGTACTCAAGGGTAACAGAGCGCATGGTACATCAAGAACGTTCTAGCAGTTAGTGACCTAAAATGAGTTTTATGACCTTGTGACAGACTTGAACCGCCGCCACTGCCCATCAGCCGCCCGGTAGTACGCGCCACTGGCCTTCCCTCCACTGCCGCCCACGCTGCCTGGACTGCTGGTGGCACTGTTGGGGAAGCTGGCAGCAGCAGGGGGAGGCACCGCTTTGCCTGTAGGAGTTGTTGGATGGGCAGGTGTGCCGTCGCTGGTACCATTGTTCCCTCTGGTGCTTGTATTGGTTGAATGGTCCACACCAAGCCCCTCTTGTTGCCTGCTTATCCGGTCTTGAAGGGTTCTGAGAGCTGATGATGCTGACCCTCCTCCTCCTGCTCCTCCTCTTCTTGCTGACAACGCTGCCAGCACCGTTCTTGCTGCCTGCCCCATCCTGTCTCTGTCACCACCACCACCATCGGTATCGCCATCCCCATCAGCGTCGCTAGCAGTACCACCACTGCTGGAGCTACTCCTTCGCTTGGCAATGATAGCTGCGCCGTCCTGTGCCGCCCAACCACCTTGCTGTGCCGCCCCCTTTCCATGCACCGCCAAAACACCATGCCCAGGCCCAAGCGCCACCTCCATTTCATGCCATCTATTCGCCATCGCCTCAGTGTTCATCACACCATTGGCCACGAGGCCATTCGCCGCCCCGTCATTGGTTGCCATCTCACTCCCCATCACGCCTCCTCTCACCCGAGTAGTCCCCATCCCGCCATTTCTCGTCGAGCCTAAGCCTGCAAACCTGCTGGGTAATCCACCATGCGCCATGTCCCCATGCTCATGCCCCTCTCCACCACTCTGCCTCTCAGCCCCCCTCCTGCCAGATGCCAGCCATGCCAGCAACCTTGCCACTGCTCCTGCGGACTCACCACCAACTGTCGCTGCTGAATCTGCCTTGGCTGCAGCTGCCCCTGCTGCTGCATGAGCCCCACGTGCACGCCCCGGTGCCCCATTCCCATGCGACCGTGTCCCATGTCTCGCCTCCTCAGCTGCCCCTTCACACGCCCCTTCACATGCCCCCTTCACATGTTTCCGCCCCCAGCTTCCTCCCCCTCTCCCAGCCGTGCTGCTCCCCTCTCCGCTCCTCCCATCCCCCTCACTCCCCCCTCTCCCCCTCCACCTCATCCCCAACCCCCACACCCCACCACTCCCACTCCCACTCCCGCTCCCATCCCCCTCACTCTTCACCCTCCCAATCCCCCCTCCTCCCAGCCTCCCCCCTTTATCCCCACTCCCTCCCTCCCTCTTCTGTCCTCCACTCCTCCCCTTCCTCCCTAGCACCCGCTTCACTCGCAGCAGCAGGGAGCGCAGCAGCAGCAGGAGGGCAGCGAGCAAGGCGAGCAGCAGGCAGCAGTTGGTGAGAACGGTGTTGGCGTGGACGGCTAGGTCCCTCTGCAGCCACGCAGATATCACCCTGTGCTTCGTTGCCTCGCTCAGTTCCACCTCCACCAGTTCTACCTCCCCCTTCCCTTCCTCCAACTTCCCTACCTCCCCCTGGGAGGGGGAGTCTCTTGCAGTGTTACCCATAGCAGCAGCAGCAGAAGGAGGAGGGGTGGAAGTGGAGGGGGTGGTGGAGGCAGCTCCGGATTTGAACCGAAGCTGGGCCTTGGCTAGGTGCTTGAGTGCCACGGCAAAGGCGGAGGCTCGGAAGCCGAAGTAGAGGCTCGGGCCGGGCCTGAGGCACTTGAGGGACCACCAGGACTTGGAGATGAAGATGTTGTGATAGGTCTTGTCACACTCCTGGTGGGCAAGGGATGGAGTCAAGGCATAGGAAAGAGGAGATTTTCTAGTCGACTTCTTGGCCGATTTTCAAGTCGACTCCAAAAGAGGAGATTCTTTAGTCGACTGAGCTCTGAGGAAAAATGAGCGCCATCATCCGTAGACACCCCAGAAGCATTGCCTAAAACACCTCCCTGGTCTTTAAATACACCAAGAGGAGAACCAGAAACCCCCTAACCTAAAAAAAAAAACCAGGAGGAGAACCAGAAAACCCCTGGCCTTAAAAAAAGCCAGAAGCAGCCCCCTGTAACCACCCTCTCGGCACCTACCTCCTCTCCCCCCTCTTCCTCACATAAACCCCACTTCTTTCTCTGCAATCCCTCCCTCATCCGAACCTGCATGTTCAGTTCGTCCCGGGCGTCCCTCAGAGGCTCGAAGCACAGCGCTGCCATGAGCTCCGTGTTCCGATCCACCAGCCGCTGCCGAGCCTCCTCCACTCGAGCCTGCATTTGCACCCGAACCTCCTCCACCGAAGCTGATGGCAGGTATGGCTGCACTGCCGCGCTGTAATTGGCCAGAACCAGTGCGGCTAGATGGCGAGCCTGGAAGGGCAACAGGGGGTGAAAGCAAGGAGGGCAGGTAAAAGGGGGTGGGTGGATGGAGTGGTAAGGATTTGGTGGAGAGGAGTGGGGAAGGGGAGCAGTAAAACAGGGTGGAAGACAGTCTGTACAACCATTTACACGCTCAAGACGTCCGTATTTTGTTTGAGGAGAACGTGAGGCTGCTTCCCGAGGCGTTGTTGCCTTATGTCCGAGGTTGGGTCGGAGGGGCTAATGGTATCTCCGTCAGCAACCTCTCCCACGCACTCGGAGATACCATTAGCCCCTCCGACCCAACCTCGGACGTAAGGCAACAACGCCTCGGAAAACCGCCTCCCGTTCTCCTCGAACAAAACACGGACGTCTTGGGCGTACAAATGTTTCAAGAAAAGCGAGTCTTAACTCAGCCACCACCACATCGTCATTGCGGTTGAATCTCCCCCATGCGCCTCCTATACTCCCCCACCAGCCGGCCCCTCATCTCCCCACAGAACCCCCGCACTCCCCACACATTTCACCCTCACTTTACAAACACCTGTCCTTGGACAGGCATTGAAATAGTGAGTCTCACCTTGGCCACCACCACCTCCTCGTTATCTGGCAATGGGTGTATCTCACCCACGCTCCGCCGATACTCCCCCACCAGCCTCCCCTTCATCTCCCCACAGTACCCCCGCACTCTCCGCGCATTCTCCTCCCCCACCCCCCTCTCGCGCTGCTTGCCCCACTGCATTGCCTGGAACAGAAAGAAATCAAACTTCTCGTGCCCGGGCACCACCCACGCCAGCCCCCCCTGGGCGATGGCTGCAGAGAAGGCATCCTGAGCGAGGAGGGAGGCGTTGGCGTGGAGGGAGAGGAGCCATCGAGGGGGGGGAGGGGGCGTGGAGGAGGGGAGGAGGGCGAAGAGGGCGTGGGAGAAGAGGTGCGGGTCGTCGGTAGGGGAAGGGAACGTGCTTGGGTTGTTGTTGCTGGTGATGGCACCAGTGGCAGCTGCAGTGGCAGCGTCACCAGCACCAGCAGCAGAAGGGGAAGCATCAGCAGCGTTGGCATCAGGAGTTTTGGCGTGAGCATGAGCATGGGCGGCAGCATAGGACAAGAATGCCGCCCGGAACGTGTCATGGTACGTGCGGTGGTACGCCACCCTCCCCTTGCCCAGCAGGGCGGCGATCAGCCGGTCGTTTGCTGACGTGGCGGCGGAGCAGTGGCTGCTGACGTCAGCATCGAGGCGGGAGCGAACCACGGGGGCCAAGGGGCTGCTGCTGTGGTCGCCCAGAGTGCCCGTGAACCTGCGGACGTTCGGTGAAAGGGGTTGACGAAAGGGGAGGGGGCGGGAAGAGGGGTTGGGTGCGGGAAGGGAACCATGGAGAAAAGTGGGGCTGCTGCTGTGGTCGCCCAGAGTGCCCGTGAACCTGCGGAGGCACGTGGTGAAAGCGGGGGGGTAAGACGGGAGTGAGGGAATTAAGGGAAGAATGTGGAACCACGAGAGCCAGACGGAGACCTGCTGCTGTGATCGCCCAGAGTGCCTGTGAACCTGAGAACGTTCGGTGAAAGTTGGGTGAAGAATGGGGAGGGGCGGGAAGGGGGGAGGGGTTGGGTGCGGGAAGGGATCTCCATGGAGAAGAGTGGGGCTGCTGCTGTGGTCGCCCACGCTGCCCATGAAACAGTGTGGAGGAAAGGGGAAGGGGTTGGGTCTGGGAAAAGGGGGGTTGGGTATAGGGGAAAGGGTATTGTTCAATGGTCAAGGATGGGGAGAGTGTAGAAGTATGGGAGCCAGAGGGCTGCTGCTGTGGTCGCCCAGACTGCCGTGAGCCAGAGAGCACGTGGTGAAACGGGGGTGAAGTTGGGGGAAAGGGAAGAAAGGAAAGGAGGGGGGTGGGGGGGGTCAGGGAGGGGATTAGTTTTATGGTGAGGAGTGGTAAGATGGCAGCATGGAATGGAAATCAATGCACTGCAGATGTGGTCGCTCAAGAAATCACCTATAAATCACCTGCACTGTGAGAAGCTGGAGAAATCACTTGCCTATAAAGCTTTCATGCAAACAGGGTGCTACTGCTGCTCAATTTGTGGAAAAGGGAGGGCCAGACGGAGGCGTGTGAACTGCTAGCTGTAACGCGACAGGTGGAGAGAGGTGGAGGCAGGTGGAGACAGGTGGATACAGGTGGAGGCAGGTCCTCTATTTACAGCGGAATCACCTGTCAACAGCTGCCATGTGAACGGCCTCGCACTGCTGCTCCAGCAGCTGCTCCCTCTGTGGGAGGGGTATGGCAGCGACAGCCGCGTGTGCTGCCTGCTGCAACTCGTCTGCCAGCGCTGCAAGCGCCACGTGCACGTTGTGCTCATTGCTAGACCTGCGATGATCGGATAACAGGAATAAGTCGGGTGGGGGATACAGGACAAAGATTCGTCTACCCGCTACCAGCACCATATGCGCATTGTGCTCGTTGCTGGACCTGAGACAAGAACGGAAGGGGGGGAGAGGGGGGATAAGCCGGGGGGGGGGGGAGGGGGTACAAAGGCGGGAGGAAAGGTCAGAAAGAGGTCAGGAGTCTCATCTGCCAGCGCTGCCAGCCAGCGCCACGTTGGTGGACCTGAAAGGGACCAGACCAGAAGAGCAGGAGGGGGAGACGTAGGCTGGGCATGCATAAGGATACAGACAGAGAGAAAAAAAAGCCACATGATAAGAGTAAAGTTTTGAGACGTCTCAAACCTTCACTCTTATCAGGGGTATACGTGGGCCGGGCCAGGCATGCAGAAGGTACAGACAGAGAGAAAAGAAAGCGAGGGCTTGTCAGCCAACCAGCACAACGCTGCCAGTGCCACGTGCACGTTGTGCTCGTTGCTAGACGTGCGTTGACATGAGAATGCCCATGGTATGGTGGAACAATGAACAGCCGATTCTAGAGCCACTTTTGAGAATTCTCAGAGGCAGTTTTTGAGCCGCCTCAAAAGAGGAGGCTATGGAAGACACCCACTGCCAGTGTGTGCGTGCGTGCGTGCGTGCGTGCGTGCGTGCGTGCGTGCGTGCGTGCGTGGCTTGCTGTGGCCCATCTTGGCAACGAGCCTGACTCCACATATCGCGGGGGACTACTCAGCAGGAAACTCTTGCGGCGCCTCACAAGAGGAGCCTTCGGAACACCTACAGACAGGTGCGTGGGTCCAGCTGAACCTGTTTTTGAGTCGACCAAAAAAAATGTACGTGGGTCTTCTAGCCGTACCTAAACTCCTAACCTGACCTGGCTTGATGTGGTCGAGCTGGGTAAAGGCTTACTTCACAGGCTACAAGCCTGTAACACGAGGAGCCTAAGCAGGACATGACCCACCTGTAGTGCGGCTTGATGTGGTCGAGCTTGGCAAAGAGCCTCACTCCACACGTCATGGCGGAGCGGTCTGCTGGCACGCCCACACTGCGCGCCATGCAGTAGTGCTGCGCATCTTGCTCTGAAGGGAAGGGAGGGGACGGGGTGTGCAGGAAAGGAAGCCGGGTGCCAAGGGAGAAACGCAGGAGACAATTCAGGGATGCAAGGCTACAGAGGAAGAGAAGAGAGCACAGGAGGATGAGAGGCAAGGCTACAGCAGCAGACGACAGAGCGAGGGAGTGTAAGGACGAGAGAAAGAGAGTGAGAGAGCGGACCTGCCTTGGAAAGGACTTGCTCCATGCGCTCCGCTGTGAATGTGGCTGACAGCAGCCGAGACGCTGGAGTGGGGGATGCCAGTGCTGCAGCAGCGGCGGGTGTGCGAGCTGCTTCCTCTGCCACAGCTGCAGCAGGCTCTGCAGCACTGCTCAGGTCCCATGCACGGTCGCTCGTGTCCCATTCAATGGCAGTGCTTGGAGCAGCAAAATTTTCTCTCTCTTCAACTGTCCCACCCATGTCTGCAGCAGAAGCAGCAGCAGCTGCAGGAAACCCACTCCTATCACTAGCACCGGCAGCAGCGCTGGCAGCAGCAGCGCGGGTGGCTTGAGTGAATCGGTCAAGGGCAGCATCGGCATGCAGACGAAAGAAGTGGACGGCGGAGGCGAAACCGCCGTCCAGCAGAAGGTCCAGCATGACTTGTTGTATGTGGCGCTCGGCGTTTAGTGGGAAGTCACTGTTCACAAAGTGAACGAGAAGAGGGAGCAGGCGCGCTGGAAAGGAAGGGAGTGGGCGGGTGAAGCGTTGAAGGGAAGATGGGCAGGAGAGGTGAAAAGGAAGGAGTTTAGTGGAAAGTCACTGTTCACTATGTGGAGGAGCAGGGGGAGCAGGCATGCTGGTGGGAAGATGAGTGGGAGAGTGAAGCGAGGAAGGGGGGACATGCAGGGAAGAAGAGAAGTAAGGAAGGCGGTTAGTGGGAAATCCCTTTTAAAAAGCGAACAAGCAGTGGGAGCAGGCGCGCTGGTGAGGAGGGAAGTTGGGTGGGTGGAGGATGTAAGAGGAAAAGGAAAGTAGGGGTTTCATGGAAAGGCACGCAATGCAAGAGGCAGTAAGCACACTGTGAGGGAAATGGAAAGCGGAACGGAAAGGGGACGGGGAAAACGATGCGAAATGGTTGAAATGATCCCCCTAAAAACTCACTCACCCACAGTCTCCCCTGTGAACTTCTGCCCAGCACCCCCCTTCGCCTCCAGCGACCCAATTACGCGCTCTCGCACGGCTGCCACGTCAGCAAGGTACCCTGGATGCAGCGCTGACATCAGCTCCACATCAGCAGCGCCCAGCCCCGCCCCGCCCACCTCCTCCCGGAGCCTGTTGATATCCGTGGGCGTGCGCACAGTGAGGCACGCTATACCCTGTGTGAAGAGGGTTTCTAGAGATTGGTCTCCTGTGCGCGCGTGCGCTGCTAGGTAGCGCTGCAGGTACACCATGGGGGAGACGGAGGAGGAGGCGTGGGAGGAGGTGGAGTGGGAGGAGGCGGAGTGGGGTGTGGTGGAGTGGGGTGAAGGGGAGTCTTCCTGCTGCTGCAGGTCGAGGTCGAAGCCTTGCACCACCCAGGTGAGGGGAGGGAAGGTGAGAGTCTGCAGCAGAAGCCGTGGGTCAGGCAGATGGGATGATGCTGCTGCAGGAGAAACAGCAGCAGGAGAAGCAGGATCAGCACCAGCAGCAGCCGCAGCAGTAGCAGAACCAGCGGCAGCTCCATCAGCAGCAACAGCAGCAGCAGAATTGGCGTGAGCGGGACCCCACCCTCCTGAGTGCAGCCAGTTCTGCAGGTTGAACACATGTGCCTGCTTCGCTAGGTCTGCCAATGCTGCCACTGACTGCGCGTCACCTGGAGAGAGGCACAGAGAGGTAGAGAAAGGTGGAGAGAGGTACAGGGAGGTACAGAGGTGCAGAGAGGTGAACAGAGGTGTACTACCATCAGACTGTCGCATGCTTGCAGCCAGAGCCGCGCCACCATGGTCAACGTGGACCCTCCATACCATCCAGCTCCTCCCCCTCAGGTGCTGGTTGGTTTGCCCTATCCCCCCTCCCACCTCAGCAAGTGTACGCAGGGTGTTGTAGATAAAGAGGGAGAACAGCAGCGTGTCAGCAGCGTACATATGACAACATCGAACGGCTTTGTGTCATATGCCCTCAGAGTGCCATCCACGTACAGCCCCTCCGAGTCCATCAGTCATATTCCCATTCCCCACGCACCGAGTGTGCGCAGGGTGTTGTAGATGAGATGGGACGACAGCAGCGTGGCAACAGCAAACAGCTTGGCGTCATACGCCCGTGAAGCGCCGTCCCCATACAGCCCCTCCGAGTCCACCAGCACCACCACCGCTCCGTCCCGCGCCTGCAGGCGGTGAGGGGGTACTATGCGCACCCACAGCCCCAGGGTCTCGGGGTCTGGACGCGTGCCAACTGGGAAGCCGCGCGTGGAGTTGAGCAGCACGTTCAGCAGGAAGGACTTGCCCCTGCCGTGGGGAGGGGAAGGGTAGGAGGGAGGGGAAACGGTCAGACGGGAAGTTAATCAGTCATGGAGTCAGCAAGAAGGTGGGGAAGAATGCAGCTAGGCGCGTGCCCATTGGGAATCCGCGTGTGGAGTTGAGCAGCACGTTGAGCAGAAGGACTTGCCCCTCCCGTGGTGGGGGAGGATGTGAACCGACGGGCCGGGAGAATGTAGGGTGAGAAGGGGGGGGTGGGGAGACATGGGGAGAGGAGGTGGGCATGTACGTTGAAGTTGAGGATGACAGACCTGCATCTGCGACAAAGAGAGGTAAGGGAAAGGGGAAAAACGGGGGAGGAGGGCGGAGAGGAAGGGGGAGTGATTGGGCGGAGGCGTTCAAGCAATCAAAAGATGGTGTGGACTGGCTTGGACGTCGTGTGTGGAGTTAAGCAGATCGATGAAGGGAAAGGATTTGCCACTGGCGGGAGAAGATTGATGAAGAGAGACAAGGGGAGTTGCTCTAGGAAAGAAACTGCCCGTGCTGGTGTATGCTTATCCAAATGGAGGAAAAAAAACGTTTTCGGAAGTCTCAGAAATAGAGCCTGGAAGTCCTCGAAACCCGGGGAGAGGGGTGAAGAGAGAGGAATGTAGAGCAACGTTCTTGCTGAGGGACACGTCAACCAGGGGCGAGGGAAAACATGGTGGACCACGCACTGATGATTTCTTACCCGTGGTAAGGACCGACTACAGCCACGAAAGCCACGGGCTGCTGTATTCTCTCCAACACATCCAAAGTGGACTGAACCACTTCCAACCGATCATGATTCGGCGACGGTCGTAGCAGCTGCATCGGCTTCGCCTCGTCGTCCCATTCTTTCGTCAACCACCCGTTCGCTTGCTCCGTGCTGCCTGATTGATCCCTTCCATGATCGCTACTTCCATGTGGCTCCGTGCGTGATCCGTAGCCAGGTGAAAGTACACGTTCGCGGAATTCCAAATACGGAAGGTCTCCTGATGGGCTGCTAGCGTGGAAGTGAGGAAAGATCGCGAAGCAGCAGAAAGCAAGAAGGTAGGTACGTAGACACGAGCGAGTCGCCATGACCACCGGCATTGCGATATGTTCCAGCGAGAACTAAAGGGCCTACGGACCGTCCATTGGTATTCAAAACGGATGCGACTCTGATGAACGGACCTACGACAAGGATGCGACTCCGATGAACGGACCTACGACAAGGATGCGACTCTGATGAACGGACCTACGACAAGGATGCGACTCTGAACGGACCTACGAAAAGGATGCGACTCTGATGAACGGACCCTACGGAAACACTTCTCCGAGACTCTGCGAAAACTTGCGCTGGAAACCATAAAATTTCAGGCGCGAATCTCGAGGCTCTGGCGCTGATTGTCAGGAACAAAATTTGACATCAATGGGCTATCTGTACAGTTAACTTGACTTCACATACAGAGAGTCTCATCAAAGTTATTACTAAATGTCCAATTCATGTTAGATTTCACTCATCAGCTAATTAGTACGGAGAATACATACCTCGTTTTAACATGTCGTCCTCTTGTATTGTCGCGTAATTTATCGTCTCAGGTTCTATGTATTGTTAAAATATCTATAGAGATCATTTCTTATCATTATAAACTAATATAGTCAATTAAGAAAGCTTGCTTTCTGGTTCTTGCAAGGCAACGTGCTTCATTTAAATTGGGTAATTACAACATTCTCGTCCAACTGAATACATAAGTATCAACTAGGGGTGGGTGGGGGGGAAGCGGAACTGTCAAGTTCCGAAAATGAAGACGTGGGTGGAGGCCAAATGGCCTCCAGCCCTCATTATGTAGTCGGGAATAGGCATTCGCAGTTGCCTTGCTTCGATGCAGTCAGCTGCGCTTTCATAATACATATTTTTAGAAAGTGTTACACACTTTAAAAAAAATTCATATTAAGAAAGCTTGCTTTCTGGTTCTTGCAAGGCAACGTGCTTCATTTAAATTGGGTCTTCTGAGACATGTGCGTACGTTGGCGAAGTGCAGATTGCAGGGCCGGTTGAGGGTGGTGTCAAGTAATAGCGATTGTTGGTGTCTGACGTTGTGCTCCATGTTGAGGTGGTTATGCGGGTTGCTGCCTGCTTAGGTAGATGATTGTGCCGATGGTTGTTGTTGGAGTGGAAGACGGTTCATAATGAATGCTGCGCTGGCATGTGAGGCAGAGAAGATAGTTGCTAAAGACGATCCATGATGTGGTCGGAAGCTGACGGTGTTGCGCAAGGACTTATGCCGTATTTTTCGTGCTTCGTCGTGAATGGTGGGGTGTAGGGCCACATATTGATGACGTGTTAGAAAGAGTGCATGCTCCTTCGTATGTGACATGCATAGGGCAAGCTTGAGTTTGAAAGTGGAGAGGACGGTCCAAGATCAAGGACTTTATTGGGGGAACGGATGTCATTTGGCCGTTAATGTTGGTGGGCTCGCCAACAAATATTAAGCGATCTTCTAAAAGGTGCGTCATGACTTGTTATGACTGAGGGCGTGTAAGTTGCAGGCGAACATTGGATAAACGGGACGTTGTCGTAATGAGTGACCGCAAGTGCACCAAGTTCGAAGTTTCCACGACCGGGACGGTATTGGATGTTGATAGCCGCATTCGCAAGATTCGTAGATCCAATGGGGGTGCCAATTGGTTCGGAAAGAAATAATGTCGCACAACAGTACGTATATGTGGAAGAGCATGATGAGGTGCCTCGAAGCACGGGTTACTGGCCCCTCGGTTGGTCATCTGTTGGCCTATCAGATGCTCATCTCGTATCTGTTGCTCCTTCCTTGGCCTATCAGTTGTTCATCTCTTGGCCGACCGATTGCTCATCTCTTGGCCCATCGGTTGCTCATCTCTTAGCCCATCGGTCGCTCATCTCTTGTCACATCGGTTGCCCATCTCTTGGCCCATCTGTTGCTCGTCTCTTGGCCCATCGGCTACTAATCTCTTGGCCCATCGGTTGCTCATGGTTTGGCCCATCGGTTGCTCATCACGTGGCCCATCCATCGCGCATCTCTTGGCCCATCGGTTGCTCATCCCTTGGCCCATCAGTTGCTCATCTCTTGGCCCATCAATATCTCATCTCTTGGCTTGGCGCATCGATTGCTCATCTCTTGGCCCATCGGTTCCTCATCTCGTGGCCCATCCGCTCGTTATCGATTGGCCCCTCGGTTGCTCATCCCTTGGCCCATCAGTTGCTCATCTCTTGGCCCATCGAGATCGTATCTCTTGGCTTGGCCCCTCGGTTGCTCATCTCTTGGCCCATCAGTTGCTCATCTCTTGGCCCATCGATATCTCATCTCTTGGCTTGGCCCATCGGTTGCCCCTCTCTTGGCCCATCAGTTGCTCATCTCTTGGCCCATCGGTATCTTATCTTTTGGCTTGGCCCATCGGTTCCTCGTCTTGTGGCCCATCTGCTGGTCATCTCTTGGCCCCTCGGTTCCTCGTCTTGTGGCCCATCTGCTGGTCATCTCTTGGCCCCTCGGTTGCTCGTCTCTTGGTCTCTCGGTTGCTCATCCGTATGTGGTACTACAGTATGATGGCGCGACAGGACAACGACAACAAGTGCGCCTGCCACCCATGTGAGTCCCGTACTCTTCTCAACACATTGCCTGTAGGTTGTCGAAGTGCGAGCAATTACTGGGTAATTAAATGCAAGTTGCATTGACGTTTGGTACCGTACATGATTATATTTCCCTTATATTGTCAAGAAGAGTGACAACACTGAGGTGCGGTAGGAGTGAATGCGGTGACGGTTAAGAGGCATGTTTCTCTCCATGCAACCCTCGTTTGATAACTTGATTGCGTGTAGGTGAGTGACAAAATCAGATCCAATATCTATCCTTGCCACTGGTGGTTGCACACTACCAACCTTACCCCGGTAAGCAGGCCCCTAGATTCGTTTTGAGGTAGTCTGAGGCCTCAGAGTACACCCCTCCTGGAACTCTGTCTATCAGAGGTGCCTCAAAATTTTAGTCTGAAAATTCAGACAAGCACAAATGTTTTTGTCTGAACTGTCAGAGTTACTTCAAATTTTAAGATGTTCATGCAGTTTCGTAAAAGCAGTTATAATAGCATTGAGGCTGATTACAGCCTACCATACCAACGCATCAGGCAACGTGCTCGTGCTCGTGCATCGCCTGTGCTCATGTCGGCGGCGTTCCAGTGTTTTTGTTACGTGTAGCGCATGGTTGTTTCTGCTCTGCTGATCTCATTTCGTTTTGTCGTGTGTGTGATTACCGTTCTGTACCCATTTTCTCGCATGTGTGCCGATTTTGTCAGTTTTGGATTTGCTTTTCAAGCGATTCGATCGTTCACCCGATTAGTATCAGGTGGGCCAAGTGCCACGCAGCTGAGCTGGCAGCAGGCAGAAACTGTTGCTTGGCGTGGCATGTGAGGACCAGACAGTGCCACACGAAACTTTCAGTACGAATCAGGAACTTCGCAATTCACACCAGTGCGTGCTGCAGATGTTTTTACAGCGAATCAGCATCAAAGTCGCCTATTCTTTACAATACATTAGCGATAACTTACATGTGACGAGATTTTGTCTTCAGAAATCTCGTAATCACGCAACCATTTCCTCAGCGTAACTGGAAGATATTCTCGACGAACGAGTGTATTTGGATGTCCCAGCTGTCGAAGTGAGCGTTGCTCACGTCCTGGCACTCCACTGCCATCTCGGAAGTGGGCATATCGGAAGGAAACTTCCAGGAAACTTTGCTCCGATAAGCGCGCAGAGTGTACCCCCGATACAAGTCTGAGGCTCAGCCTACCCTAGTAAAATTAGGCTGAAATTTCAGACAACTCATAAGAAAAAACTCTGGAAAATCAGACAAGGTACATAAATAAATTCTTTGAGTTCAGACTAGGTACAAAAAAAAAGTCTGAACGGACTCTGATTCAGACTCCAAAGTCTGATATCTAGGGCACTGCCAGTAAGTCCAGACATTTTTTTTTTTTTTTTTTTTTTTAATGTTCACTATACACTGGTGGTACATTCGTATACGAAAACATATGTCCGTCGTAACTGAGCGCGAGAGGCCGAAAACTTAGTAAGCTTATTCCAAACATAACTTGTGGTGTGGTGTGGCTCCAACATCCAACGACAGCAAGGACTGCTCCTTTTTTTTTTTTTTTTTTTTTTTTTTGAAATCATTCATAACTTTAAACATAATAGCCAAGGTTACAACATATCCACCTGCACAATACCGGTAAGTGTGGTTTTCCCAATCTCAGTTTTTGTCCGTTTTCTTTCCCTCCCTAAGGCAGTGGCGCTCTGGGGGGCGGCTCTCAGGCCAGCATGGGGACCCTTGGTCCCCTCCCCCCCTGGGGGACGGCTCTCAGGCCAGCATGGGGACCCTCGGTCCCCTCCCCCCCTGGGGGACGGCTCTCGGGGCGACGTTGCGACTCGCGGTCCTCGAGTTCATCGAGAACGTCGTTGGGTGCGCGTGGAGTAGGTCCGGTAATCGTTGCGATTTTCCGCACGAGTGGTGGAGTTTGGTGCGCGTCCCTTCACCATCGACATCACGTGCCCGTTTTTCTGCCACCAAGGAATTAAAATCAAATCGGAATTAGTCAGAGATAAGAAACAACAGAAAATAAAAGAAAAGAAAAATTGAGGAAAAGTCTGAAGAAGATTTGCAGCATATGCATCGCAACACAATGTATGGTGAGGTGACAAGGTGCGAAGGTGGGTGACGCTGCAGTCAATGGCACAGGTGCTAGAGTGGCAGTTTCGTCACTGCTGCCCCTGTGTCCCTTTCGTCCCTGACGCGCTAGTGGCAATGTCGCCATTGGCGCAAGTG